GTGAACCTCTCCCCATCTTCACTGCACAGAGCGGTGAACCTCTCCCCATCTTCACTGCACAGACTCTGCCACTCTAGGAGGTTCTTTTTATACCCAATCATATTACTGACATATTTGTGAGTATTCCACCTGGTGTTTTTGTTTTGGCATTGCACAATTTTTCCAGTCTTTTGTTGCCCCTGTCCCAACATTTTTGAAACGTGTTGCTGGCATCAATTTCAAATTGAGCGTTTATTTATTTATAAAACAATAAAATTTCTCAGTTTAAACATCTGATACGTTCTCTTTGCTCTTTTCGAGCTGGATATAGGTTGAATATAGGTTTTTTTTTTATTTACATTTTACACAGTCCCAATGTTTCTTGGAAGCATGGTTGTAAAATGTGGCTGGCTGGGATCGCAAATGTCACGCACTGCTAACCTTAACCCATTGGAATTTTTCTATTATCGTAGGGTGACTCACTGAATCCCGACGGATGACAGTGTGTCCGGGAATGAATGGGGGCCGTTTAATCGAAACGTTATAAATTGAATTACTAAACGGATTTTATTTTAGGAAATCGCCCTTTTAGACAGTGTGCGATATACACAGCTGGCTGAAGCTTCCCAGCACTGCGGTGGTACAAATGTCCAGCAGATGGCGGTATTTAGTTAGTTTGATCTCTGTCTGCTGCTTTCGGCTGATTAAAAAAAATGTATACGTAAAATATATGTTTTTTTAAAACGACGTCTATAGAGTCATCTACAGTTTCACGCCATATGCCCAAATACTAGTAACCGTCTGGACGCATTTGTGTATGTAGATTTAAGTTGTATCATTGATACTCGATCTTCTTTGCTTGCTGCATCTACTAAACGATGCCATCTCCGCAAAATGAACTGGGCACGTCGCCCGCCTTCTGTAAAATACGACCCGCAGTTCTTAATCTTAAATTAATTTCTTGCTACTTAAAGGGCATGACTTGTTATTTATTAGAGCGTTTATTAACATGCGGGGATAAGGCACAGGGCAGCGTGAGCCGTGAAGGCGGCGGAGATTAGGCGCGCGGCTGCGCGTGTCCGCGGTAAGTCACGCCGTGGTGCGCTGGAGTGTGGCGCAGACAAGGGCATGGCGGAGATAAGGAGCGCTGGAGATAAAGCGGCACGGCTAATTAGCCGATGCATACTGGACTGGATCCATATCCGTATCTCGCACGGCAGATTCCACTGGATGGGGGGGCCCTCCAGGTGAGCTGGAAGGTGTCACTGTTAGGATGCCATTGGAACCTTAAAGGGGCCCCGCCGTTTGAGACCGGCAAGGACAGAAAGACATGGAAGGAAAAAATTCTGAAACGGGCAAATAAGCAAATATTATGTTGAAATACCATGGGCGGAGTTTAGGGGGGGTGGGGAAGCAGAGGGGGCAGTGCCCATCCACTCCCTCCGGTCGCTTGAGTTGAAATTGGCAAGACCAGCATTGCTGTATGTTCTGCATTCACACTTTTCACCTTTGCATAAGCGGTTGGTTGGTACGCTATAGGTAGACAACATGATTATATGTTATATGTGCGGCAAGAAAGCAAGATGCCTTTTTTTTTGCACTCCCCAGGTGCAAACATCAAACTTGCCCGTTGTTAAAGAGGTTTCTATACTGGCCAGTATATGCCCTGAGAGGCTGGCAGGGCGTCATTTCTCATGCTCACGCATATAAACATATAATGTCAATGGTAGGGGAGTCCCCTGTGATTAATGAGTCTTTCCGCAGGTGGGACGGGTAGCCCCCCATGACAAATTTTGCTGGCCCGCGACCTCATTGCCCCACTAGGAAAAGGCCTGCTTTGCCGGATGCCCAGTCCAGGCCCACCTGAGAGGTAATTCCATCCACCCCCCAAACACAGAAACAGGCACAATAAGTATTACCCTACGCTTTAACTAACATCCCCCACACACCCAACAAGCACAGAAACAGGCACAATAAGTATTACCCTACGCTTTAACTAACATCCCCCACACACCCAACAAACACAGAAACAGGCACAATAAGTATTACCCTACGCTTTAACTAACATCCCCCACACACCCAACAAACACTGCAGCCCCTTGTTTCATTTTTTTCTTATTTTTGTTTTTCAGGTGATTCTACCGGCAACAGCATCTGACACAATAGCAAAAAAATTGCTATAAAAAACAGCGAAGTCTGTGTGGTTGTGTTAGGAGGCCATTCCCACGAGGTAGAGTGATCTCAAATGCCAACTGGAACACCATGCATGACACTTATGCTTCTGAGTCTAGTAGATTCTGAGAATGCATTTAGTCACGTTTTTGCAAGTACTGAGCAGTGAAGGTTTTAAATAGGACAAGATTCGGGGGGTGGAGTGGATAGGTAAGGGAGGGGTGAGTTCAGGGGACAAGCCCTTCAATTCGCCTGTAACCAGTTAGTGGTTGTTTACCGACGGTTCATTCTGTCTTTGTGGGAGAGAGACTGGAAACAATGCTTGTTCATGTTTGTTAGCAGCCAAGATATTTGTCTGTTTTTTGGTTCTGAAACCCTTTGTACCCCGTCTTGGTACAGAGGAAATTTCCCTGCTCCATTCTCCAAATTCCTGTGTCCTGTGTATATGTTGAACACCCCAAAAAGTCAAGCTACAAACACATTCAAGCGGCCTTGGATCACTCTTTGAAAGGGCTGTATCCATCTGACTGTAGCTGCATAGCTAGAAGAAATCAATGTAATCGATTATTATGGGATTGTATAGAAGATTGCATAAAACATCTAAAATTGTCTACTGGATTGGTTTTAGTGTGATTAAGCCAACACATTCTGCAATATCTCTTAACATTTTACCCGGGACAATCTACAAAAATAACAAAACCTTACAAAAGCAATAGAGAGTAAGTGAAAATATGGCTGATGACACATTAGTTTGCTTATTATAGGAATTAAGGGTTTGATCTCCCAGAAAAGTTTTGTCTCTAGGTCTGCAGTCTCTAGGTCAAATAAAAATTTACATAATTGGGCAAGTGCTTTTCCAAAGCTACAAAGTGCACATAAAGAATATGTCATAGGTTAAGTCAGTATTTGGCGTCCCCACGCCTTAAGAATGGCCTTTCAGACTAACTTGCTTCACCACTAATACATCAAATCAAATCAAGTCAAATCAAGTCAAGTCAAGTCAAATGAAGTCAAATCAAATCAAATCACTTTTATGGTCAAATCACTAGAACGAGGGAACTAATGAGTGAAAGTCTTGGGTTACGAGTTCCTATAAGCAGTGCGGTACATTAAAGAAACACAAAATGTACGTATATTAACTGTACCACAGTGAACTGTATGTAAACTGTACATAAAAGAACTACAACAACATGCAGCTCTACATATGCACAAATGCAACAGTGTAATACACATACAATACAGCTTACAGACAGTATGCATACAGTATACCATAGGCAGACAGACTGTAGGTATAATACAGTACAGTTTAATAAACCAAAGGCATTCACCAATCTTGGTATCTCTGTATCTTTATACGCGTCCAGGTTTGGGTTCGTCTTGTTATCCAAAGGGCAGGACTCTGAAGGTGAAAGGGCCTGTACTTCTCAGTAGGATCCAACTCACCGGTACAGCTTGCTGTTCATGAACAGGCTATATGCACAGAGCCTCCTGGGTAGGGCGTGACCGGAAGATCGACAGCTCTGCCAGTACCGGAACCAACGAGTGTGAGCTCGTGAATGAAGACGATCAATTCATTCGGGGAAATGAATCCTTCCTGTCCCGCTGCCGTGAAATACAGTAAAGGTTACAGGTCCTTATCTCTGCGTCTGGGATTTCAGCAGAGCAATGAAGCGCTGTGCTGGAACACACAGCTGAATGTTAACATTGGGTGTAGGTTCTGGCTCTTGCCTCTGTACGAGTCGCATTTACATTTTACAATTTTATCTTATTGGTTTCGTCTGGTATTCCCGTTCCCTCCCACAGTCCAAAAGACCAGTTTTTAGGCAAATTGGCGTCTCAGAATTGACCACAGTGTGTGATTCAGTGTAGGAGTGAGAGCTCTGTGACTTACTGGTACTTACTGGTGTCCCTGCGTTCTGCCTTGTACTTAATGGAACAGACTCTAGCCTCTCTGTGATCTGTGGCCTGTACTACGAAGCGGGGTTACTGGCTTATCGGGGTAACTTGTCGGATTTAAGGTAGTCTGGGCAAAATGTAAGTGAACGGATATGAAGTCCATTTAAACTGTGGTACCTTAAATCCGACAAGTTACCCCGATAAGCCAGTAACCCCGCTTCGTAGTACAGGCCTCTGTACTGGTTAACTGCTTAGGAAAGACGAGTGTATGTATACATGGATGGATAATTTAGGAATGTGTCTTTGGCGATTGTAGATTTACTCCCCACTTCTGCCATATTTGCGATACCTGAAGCACCACCGCTCACCCTGGACGTCACTGTACTCACCCACACAGGAAACGTGGTTTGAAATCCTCCAGTTAGTCCTTCATAGCGTGACACAATGCAAGCCTTCGGAGGGAGATCTGAAATGCACAAACACAATCAGAGATTAGCCTCAGTAGATGACTTGAGACTGTGGGATTTGAGATAACTCCAGCCATAGAGAACAGTGTCAAAATAATTGGATTTTGACAAGCAAGTCATCGTAATTCCAATAATTTCATTACTTTTCCACTTTTGCATTTGATTTCCCAAGGGCACCATATGATACACAGAAACTTGATTATATTTTTTAGTTTATCATTTAGCTCTAAGTTTTTTGTTTCTCTTTTTTTGGTGGTGTTGTTGTTTTCGATAAAGGTAGATGGATCGATAATATTCATTTGCGGATTCTGATCTGTGTGACAAGTGAACCACTGTGAGCATGGGGAAAATCAAACAGTCGGGTTTAATGGGAAAATCGATCCTTCGCTGTGTTATTGTTCTCTTTCACATGGAACGTTATGTCATTGAGCGTCTCGCTGTTTCGCGTCCTTCTCCGTTATTTTTATTTGCTGCACTCTGAGTAATGAATGAGACTGCTCTCGTAAATCTGACATCATTAGTGAGGGGTTGCATTGCGGCATCACAGTTCCAGGATTGAGGATTCCTTTGCCATCACCGGTTCCGTGTGTGGGCAGAGTTGGCAGATTTCCCCGTCTTTGCACAGGGCATCCCTGGGCACGCCGGCATCCCCCCTCAGTCAGAACACTCAGCAGTCTGAATTGCCGATAGTGTTTGAGTGTGATCCCTGTGATGGACTGGTATCCTGTCCAGGGTGTCTCATGCCTCAGGCCATGGGGATCCTGAAATAGGCTTCTGTCTCACTATTAGCCTGTACTGGATAAGTGATGATTGACAATGGATGCACCCACCTTTGAGCTTTAAATTCCCATTGATTTCATTTTCTGTACAGTACTATTACAGAGTAAACTCCCTATGCTGTCGATAGTCCAATCTTTCTTTACAGTTTGTTTTTTTCTATTTATCCATACTATATTTTATTAATCCAGAGTTTAAATTGCTCTGGAAACACCTGAATAGCTACTGTGGAAATTGTAGCCGAGATCACCTTAGACACAAACAGTGTTGCAATATTCTTTTTGTGTACTGTGTACTTTTAAACTTGTTTGCGCCAAGTTTACTTGTTTGCACTATGCAGGTTGTCTTTATACTTTGTCTGGCGCTATATGTATGTTTGTCTGTGCGCTACGTTTTTGCTGCTCTATGGACCAGAATCTCGCCCTAGGATCAATAAGGTCAATCTCAATTTAGAAAAGACCAGTCTAGGTGTGATCTGGGAGATGTACTTCTGTGATTATATGGCCTGCAACCCTTAATGAATCGACTATGGAGCATGCAAGGGCAAAATCTTCTACTGTGGGGGACCCCCCCCTGCTCGAAACAGGCGACTGGCATCATAAGTAGATCTGCACTATAAGGAAACCCCCCACTCGAGCTTTATAGGAAGATGAGGGCAGGGGAGGGAAATATTGAGTCTGCAAAGCCCGAATGCGTAAAAGCCTGCGTACAAACAGACATGCATAGTTTATGATGTGGGGAAGACAAAATAGCCTGGTTATTGGGCAGAGCGGGGTGATGAATCCACTCGGATGATGTGGCTCCATGGGATGAAATCCTCAGTGGCGATGCTCTGAGACAGCACATACAGTAGGAGGAATCACTGCAAACTTCTCCTGAATGGATTTACAAAAAGTGAAAATAAAATAAAAGGGTTTGTTCTACTTCAATGCTCCCCAGGAAATGTGTCTTAGTATCTTAGGAGTGCGGCCGTGACCTTAAACGGACTCCTTGTTTCATTCCATTTCCACTAAATATTTAAAGGGGGCCGACAATGCCTTCAGCCACGTGGGCGGCCTTGCAGAAGATGAGAAGGGAATGAAGGGGGAGCCGTTTCCGACTTGACATGCGCGGTCAGCAATAACGCAGCTGAATTGTTCGCCAAACCAAAAAAAAACAAATAATCGCTGTTGCATATGAGCCTGCAGGGGCAAGAGATCAATAAACCAAACCCACGATGAAAGAAACTGTTTTGGACGACGACTAGTATAATATTTCTATAGATATGTGGACGTCAGAGTGAGTGAAATCGCTGCAAAAGGTCAGAGTGTAAAGAAACAACATTAGGATGCAAAGATCTAAGAGGAATTAATGACCAATTAGCAGGGGGTCGACCACAAATGTATAGGATCAAGCAGGTGATAAGAACATTTCCTGTGTATTTTTTATGCTAATTATCCCCTAGAAGGGTCTGTGATTCACTGGGTAATTAGCGAATCAATAGAGACTGCATTGCACAGTTAATCAATCATTCAAGGTGGACTTTCTGTCAATGCTGAGGCACCCCAGCACGCTGATCATCCTGGTTCCATCGACAGAGGAAGCGGCGTGCATGTCGGCAGTATTTTTAGAGCAGCCTTTATCACAGCCCCCAGAGGTTGGTGTGATTTGGTCTGCTGTGACAGGGCCTGGTGACTTCATCACCCAAGGGGTGAGCCATCTCCATGTTTGTGTCGCTTACTTTGTTCCTGTGAAGTCCCTAACAATGACAACCCTCTGGTCAATGTTGCTAATAGACCCTTGCTGTTTGTGATGTGGCATTGCTGCCAGCCTCCATCTGCCAGTCTGCACTTGATTGGCTCCATGATTGCAGAAAACAAGCCATCATGTGATGTAAGTGGCCAATGAAAGCGATCCCTCAACAATGTCCCATGAC